AGGAAGATTTTCTGTGTTCTGCTCTTCCCCATCCTTCCCTATCTTCGTAATTGTGTACTCACTTGTTAGTTTAGTGATGTTGCAATCTGTGAGCTTGATAGTAAAAGTTAATTTTTAGTTTGTAAATGCTAGATCTAAAGAATTATTCACTAAGTACATGCCACCAAAATATAAATAGACAAAGGGAAGCCCATGACAATCAAGCAATCACCTCATTTTATGTCCCCTTGCAAACCAAATGTAGGTAGAAGAAAAATGTAGCCTCGTATAAATTGCATATATCCATTTTTTATTAGGACGCCATTCTACTACAACTTCTTTATATTAACCACTAGGTGGCGATGGCGCGCCTTGTCGCGGGGCGGAGATGGTATATGAGCATGTATTATGTCACCAATTATGGTGTTTGTTTGTAATATTAGTCTAATTTTTTTTTTGTTAGCAGTTTTGTTAGTAATATTGACTTGACAATATGATATTAACTGAGAAGATATATAGGGCGGTCATCCAATTTATTTATTTTTTGAAAATTTTGGCTAATAACATATATTTACCTAAACCCAAGTAGACCCATTGATTATGGGTAGGGTATGGGTGACATACATATGAGTTTGAAAGTTTGTAGATGGGTTTGGATAGGGTATGAATATGTACTTACATAATCTAAATGTGTATGAGTTGGGTATGGATAACCATTTATTCGACGATGTTTTAATTACACATACAAAAATTAGACATATTTGTAGAACTTCAAAAGTTTAGGCACCAAATTGTCATACGCAAAAATTGTAGATCCTAAAATGTAATGTTCAATCAATATTTTGGGTACTTATGTGCCGAAAAAATAAATTTAGATTATAAATCTAAAAATCTATTAAGTTTAGGTACCGAACTGTAATTTGTATATTTGAGGCTTAATTCCTTTATGGTTATGTATTTTATAGAAAAATGGAAACTATAATTTGATAAGTGTAGATACCTAGCCAAACCTTCCATATATAATTGTCGAAAATTCTAGCTCGAGTGAAAAAGAAAAACTTTAGGGAGAAGCAAAATGAATACAAACTGAAACTCGCTTAAATTTCACGCTTTCAAATCTCATAGTGGAAAATGATTACTTTCTAATAAGTAATAACCATATTTATTTATTTTTATTTGGACTCGACATTGTGCTAAAAAGTTAATGGTTCATGGTTCAATTATTAATTCTCTAGACTGTTGGTAAGTAGTATGGACACGTTCATACTTGTGATTAGAATACATAAAAATTGTATACTAATTACGGCTAGACGAAGAAGGCAAAGAAAGAAATAAATAAAGAGTTATGGAAGGCGAGTGAAAAATGAAACGAAATGCAAGTAGATGATGGAAAGGTTTTGACCAATTATTTTAGTTGGCCGTCAATACAACAGTCAACCATTTTCACCGTAGCAATTTATTGTCACTTGCTTATGTAGATCTCGCCTATTTTGTTGTATGTAGTTAGTAGAAGATTGTTTAGTACCCCGTAAATGTACTAAATGAGTTTATAAAATCGCTCTTGTAATATTTTAGAGTCGTCTCACTTTTATTATTTATTTAATATTTCACGCAATGAGCAAATATAAAATGGTGGAATCTTCTCCTTCAGTTGAGTGATACAACATCTTGTATGGTACAAACTAAATTTATATTTTTTGTTATGGTAGATTGGATTCATTGATTGATTAAAAAGGATTGGCGGATTGGATTAATGGATTCAAGTGAAATCTAAACATTAAACCAATTTGTCAATTTAAAAAAAAATGTAGGTACGAAAAGCTCATAAAATTTAGATAACAAAACATAATTGTTCAATAATTTTACATTGAAATTAAATTTGGGATATCAAAATGTAAAATGTATATTATAGTAACTAAGTTGTAATTTAATTAAATTTGGGTATGAAAATGTAAAAATGATTGTTGCACAATCAACTCGCAAGATTAGGCAACAGTAACTCAACTTCTTCTTTATATATATTAATATTTAATTTAATATTGTAATATGTACCTGTTGAATTTTGGCCCATGCATTGCTAATTATAAAAAAAAAAAAATTTGTAGTATTAGCAATATAATCTATGCATTCAACAAATAATAATAAATTATTTCTACAAGAAAATAGGTTTTAGAGACAAATAATTAGAAGCAAATATTTCATTAATCCCTATATCTAATCTTTAGCAACATATATATTATTTGATTCGATTTTTTTTATTATTTGATTCCATTTACTAATATTTTGAGACAAAAATTATTTGCTTCAATATGTCATTCTATTTGCATCTGTTTAATAATACTTTCTAATTTTTTATATGTAAAATAAGAAAAATTTAGTTGTAGAAGCAATTATCCTATTTGTAAAAAATTAAATATCCAATCACTTGGCATGTATTTTCATCAACGATCTATATAAAATCCAATTGCATGTTAATAATGGTTGACTTACTTTTGTGTTGTCGTTTTTAATGCTTTTGTACAATTCTCACATAAGTACTCGTCAGAGTCTTCTTAGTATTTTTGTGGACAGATTTTGCATCCAACATAGCACCACCCATTCTTATCATTGATATTTTTACATTTGACGGAATACATATATCCCTACATATTACACAAAGTGTTATTATTCGATAGTTAATTGGGAGTTAGATCGGAACTAATGCTTATCCCTTCTTCATATATCCCTACATATTACACAAAGTGTTATTATTCGATAGTTAATTGGGAGTTAGATCGGAACTAATGCTTATCCCTTCTTCATCTGTCATTTTTAATTGATTGAGCTCATGTAGTATTATAGTTGGGATTGGCTTTTGAGCTTTTTCTATGCTTTTCATTGGAGGAGTTGGTGCATCGCCATCACTTTATTAACAAAAAATGATTCCGCCAATGATATATATATATATATATATATATATATATATATATATATATATGTGGTGGCGTCTTCGGTGCACTCACTTTTTTGGTGCATTCAGTGCACTCGCTTCATAACTGTCATTTTAAACATGCGATTTATGTCAAAATGATGTCAATCATCACTTATGATGTGATGAACAATAACACACATGAATTTTCACAAAAACCATTAAAAATTTACTTTAATTTGAAGGATTTAGAGTTTAGAGATTTAGGGTTAAGGTTAGGGTTTACAATTTGGGGTTTAGGGATAGAACTCAAAATTGGAGGTCTAGGGCTTAGGATAATTCGCTAATTAGTTGTTAGCTTATGTTATATCATCATATTACACTAATTCTACAAATTAAAATTCAAAATCTGACACATTAAGACTAGTTTTTGAGTTGGGTGCATTGAACGCACTCATTTTTGTGAGTGCACGGACGTACCCTAGCTTACCGTACGGCCGTTGAGTTTTGCTATTTAGACAATGAATTACCGGAGTTTGGGGCATGATATTATACGCTAACCCCTAATGGGTAAACCCTAGTCCGCAATTCACTAACCCAAAGCATAATATTCATTTAATCTTGAAATGAAAATCAACGGTTCTGATTTGTTGAAATTATTGTTGATTTTCATTTCAAGATTAAACGAATCTCATGATTTGGGTTAGAAAACTAGGGACTGGGGTTCATCCATTAGTGGTTAGGGTATAGTATCATGCCTAAAACTCCGGTTAATTCATGATCTAAATAGCAAAACTCAAACGGGCGTACGGTAGTCTAACGTACGCCCAGGCGTACGCTAGCCTAACCCATATATATATAACCCATATATGGTGATGACTGGTGTACGTCAGGCGTATAGTATACGTCAGGTGATTTAGCCGTTAGATGTAGTTAGATGAGCTCCGGCCGATCTCAACGGTCAATTTTTGTTTTTCATTAAATCAAACTTCGGGTTAGGGTTTAGAAAATCGGTGACAGGGGTTTATCCATTAGAAGTTAGGGTATAGTATCATACCCCAAACTCGATTTAATTCATGGTCTAGATAGAGATATCTCACTAGTAGTACCTGACGTATAGTATACGTATGGCGTACGCCAGTCTAACCCTATATATATGTGTGTGTGTGTGTGTGCGCGCGCGTGTGTGGCAAAGGCTAGTGTACGACTGACGTACGTTGTACGTCTGTGTTCGCACTTGGTTTTTGCACGTCAATATATTTTGCTGAATCAGAACCGTTGGTCATTATTTTTTTAGATTAAATGAATATTGGGGCTTGGGTTAAGAAATTAGGGACTGGGGTTCACCCATTAGAGGTTAGGGTATAGTATCATGCCCTAAACTCCCGTTAAATCGTGCTCTAAATAGTAAAACTCGATGGGCGTACAATGTACGACTGAGGTACGCTAGCCTAAACCATATAAATTTGTTGTATCACGGTCTGACCATACCACTTACTAAACCGAAATAACGGTATAAATCGGTTTGACAACCTTACTCTTCACCATAATTAACTTAAACATAATTTATTATTTATCAATTATCAATTATCAATAACACATTGAATATTTATTATTTTGTATCTGTTGGTAATATTAACTTAAACATAATTAAACAAACTTGTTTTCCAATATGGAATAGAAAACATAATTAAACACAACTTCAACCTAATTAACTTATAATTACAACACACAATCAATTAGAATATTAAAAAACAAAAAATATTTTTTTATGTATGAAATCTCTTCTCCAATAGTGATAATTAACAAAGTCCTTTTTCCAATAGGGTACGTGTGTTTAAAAAAAATAGAGTACGAGTATTTAAATGAAGGCCAGGGTTTTATTAAGTTCACTGATAAAAATATCCTTCCTAAATTTAAGCAGAAGGCTCGAATTCTAGAATTTGGCATATAATCACAAAGAACCTCTATATATTAGTGTTAGGATTAGGATAGGATTAGGACTACTACTCCCGGCACGATGAAGAACAACATGGGTTTGACGTCGGACGAGAATCTCAGTACGATCACGGCCGTTTGCAGAGTCAGAGTCCCTTTCGTCCTCCGTAAGAAACTCGACATTGCCAATTCATTATCTATTATACACTGATTAATTATATCGTTGATCAATTAATCAAGACGAGTGCACGAGTCAGTGATGATCACGTTTTGATTCATGCTTTACATGTATAACCATTTAGGGACGTAAGCATCCATCTATCTACCTTCATCAATGGAGGAAACAGAGATTGAGTTTTGGGAATAATCCTCAACGACGACAGTACTGTCCCATCCAGTTACCATTGGTGGCAATGCACATGCAGGTTGACCCGGTGTTGGCAAAGTAAACGAGTTGCTGGAAAGCATGACATGAATCGAGTTCATGTCAGGCCTATTGGCATCAGATTGTTGACAGCATAGAAGCCCTATCCGAATGCACTTCTCCACTTCATCGGTGTGATAAGAGTGGGCAAGGCTCGGGTCAACTAACTCCAATGTCTTTCCTGCTCGATAGAGCAACCATGCCTGTGTTTAAGAAATTACAGCCCCAGCAAAAGATCACAAATGGGTTAGATTAATTATCCGAGGAATGTTGAATGATTGCAACAAGGAAGAGCATGACTCCAAGAACTGGTACCAACAGACTCATACAACGCATAACTTAAACATGGTTTTCCAGAATCTTCGTAAGACGGATACACAAGATACCGATATTCAAATTCATGTCATCTTCAGTGGTCCAAATCAATAGGCAACTCAAAACTCAAACAACAATTTCTATCACATTGACGTGTAATTCAAGCAAAACAGTAGATAGTAGACTAGAAACAGCACCCTATAGAATCGACTTACCGAATGCAAGAGACTAGCATGGTCCGGACCAACTCTGAAATCATAATTCCGACTCCCACTTATAATTTCTAGAAGGATAATACCATAGCTGAAGACATCGGTCTTGACAGAAAGATGTCCATGCATAACATACTCTGGGGCCATGTAACCACTGCAATCAAATGAAAGCTATCCTCAGTGGCGCAAGATAGGAAAAGCCAAGCTAAGCTGCATGATTCAAACTTCAAGAGAAATAGCAGAGAACTAGAAGAAGCACTCACTAAGTACCACATATAATTTCTGTAACTTGTTGCGTGTCTTCCTCCGGAAACAGCCAGGCAAGGCCAAAATCTGATATCTTTGGACTCAGTTTTTCATCCAGCAATATATTACTGGTTTTGATGTCTCTGTGAAGGATTCTCACGGGGGCTTCCTCGTGGAGGTAAAGAAGTCCCCTTGCGACTCCCTTAACTATACGGAATCTTGTTGCCCAATCCAGGGAAGAAGACTTCTCCTTATCTAGGAAATGTCATCCTTCATCAGTAAGAAACAATCAGGTGCTGATTTTATCCAACACAAAAGACAGATCTACTCAATATACGAGCTTTTTTTTTTACCAAAGAGCAAGCAATCAAGACTTTTGTTTGACAGATACTCGTAAACAAGCATCTTCTCGGGTCCTTCTGCACAGCAACCCAACAATGTAACTAGATTCATGTGCCGTATTTCTGACAGTAGCTTCACCTCATTAGTGAATTCATCTACTCCCTGCCTCCCTGTTGCAGAGAGCTTCTTCACCGCAACTTCTTGGCCATTCGGCATCAACCCCTGTAAACCAGCTACATGGATGGGAATTGGGAAGGGATACCACTTGGAGATAATTTGAACACAAAATACTTAAAACTTAAAAGGGTGATTCGGAGACAGAACTCATTGTTTCAACTTCCAGGACACCTCAAAAGATATCTCGTGAGTTTGCACACATTCAAATCAAATAGTAATACCCAGGGTTACCAGAATTTCATCGCGTGCCAGTTCATTGGAATTCTCAATCAAATCCTACGCCCAATGGAAAATTGAAGAACTGTACCAATTGTAGGGAAAGACAAATTCAATTGAAACACCAACTTAACCAATAAGAGTCGCATTTGCATACCTTGTAGACTGGACCGAAGCCTCCATGACCGAGCTTATTCAGCTTGGAGAAGCAATCGGTGGCCACTTCAAGTGTGCGGAGGTCGATGAAGAGGTCGGGAGTTTCGAAAGAGATGCCCAAATCGTCACCATCCTCCTTGGCGCGACGGGAACTCAGTATCCCATCGAGGTATCGACGGATGGTGCGAATAAGCCCCATGAACAAGGCATGGAGCGTTGGGGTTGAGGATGGGGGAAAGAATGATATATGCCGGCGGTCGGCGATCCGCTGCCGCCTATGGCTTTTGTGCCTTTAAGCCTTAATTAATGGGCGGGGGAAGTTGACTGGGGTTTAGTCCTCTATTTGAAAGATAAAATACCTTGGTACCACTTAAGTTTGAGAATTGGAGCAGAGATACTACTTAAATTTGAATAGGGCATCGGGATACCACTGAACTCTATTATTTGTGCACTAGGTATCACTTAAATTTAATGTTAGGTGCATTTCGTTAAAGTTAACAAAATATTTTTGGAATATTCTGTTTTCTAAATTTCTTAATTGGTCATTCTACTTTTTTTATTGTAAAAATTATTTTGACTTATGAAAAACATCAATTTTATTATTTAGTTGACATCCTCTTTTGAAGACTTGATATCAAATTAATTTTTGAATTGAAAATTTAGAATCAACTATCATTATAAGTATTTTCAATTATCATTATGTTTTCTAATTATTGAATTATTCTCTAGAGCAAATATATCCTACAAATTTTGTTTATTTGGGATCCACTTTTGAAAACTTTAATACCAAACCAATTTTTGAATAGAAAATGTAGAATCAATTATCATTATAAGTATTTTCAATTACCATTGTATGTTATAATAATTGAATAATTTGCTGAAGCAAATATATCCTATGAATTCTATATCGATATAAATAATCCAAGGATGTTATATTTAATTCTGGTAAATCATGCTGATGTTGTATAATTTTCTATGTTAAATATCCTTGTAATTTTCTAATACTATATTTTAGATTTTCCATATTAATTAAATTTACTAATTGTCTCTTCTTATAGTCGTATTTTCTTTTCTAGTTTTGTTACGGAATGTTGTAGATTTATTTATTTATTACTTGGTTACTTCTGTTCTCTTTTCGTTCTAAATTTTCTTCAATTACTGGAATATGTTTAATTCTTTCTAACGGTGTTCTATTTATCCTTCTTTGGTCTTGATGTATTGATGATCGATTAGGTTCTATTTTAACTATTTTTAATAGTACTTCTAATTAGATTAGCGATTTAAATAGATCTTCTAATATTTATTGTAATTATTTATTATTATATTCTATATATTTATTCTTCTTCTTGATATTTGTTTATTATTTTTACTAATTTATCTATTTTATTGAAAATTTTAATTAGTCATTTTAGTAATATTATGTTTACAAGGTTTTTTAATTTCTATATTAGATAAAAACTTGTTAAAATATAGTTTTTGATGTTTTTAAAAAATTTGGGTACCAAAAAGTAATTAAAATTTTGGGTTGGATGGAAAACTAGACGGATGCACATTTTGGCGACTTTAATGGTACCCGACGCCCTGTTCAAACTTAAGTGGTATGTTTGCCCCAATTCTCAAACTTAAGTGGTACCCTGGGTATTTTACCCTCTATTTGAATGTTCTTGGGGGCCTTCGCGGAAATGGGAAAGAGAAAGGGAGCATATCAGGTGAGTAACAGATGGGTCAGTGTTTCGTTGGCGAAACTTGCGCGTTCAATGCGCACTATTTTCGAGTAAACACAAAACATAAAGTCAATTACAACCGTTAAATACCGTTGATTTGATCGATCGCACAAAAACCAAGACGACCGTCAAATATCCATCGTCGGCGTCGGTGATGTTGATTTGATCGATGCACCTTTGATTTCTAATCAAACAACCGTTATTCGGTTCACCACCTCTCCAAACTACGTTCGAACAAGGGTGTTCGGCGAACAACCAGAAAATCGAACTAGGAGTGTTCTAAGTTACGTTACCTCTACTCCTATTGAGGTTCCTCTAGAGAGCTCCGCGACTACGACTACTACTCTGCAAAGGAGTTCTCTGACGGAGCGGTTCTACGAAACTAGAGAGAAAAGGTAACTCTGCGACGGTGCAGTTTGAGATTTGATTTTGCCGTCCGGAGCTTCTCTCTCTTCCAAATCTTTATACTTTGCTCTTCTCCCAGCAGTTGTAGCAACTGCTTCGCTCCTTTGTCTCCCACGTCTTCATTCCTGTCAATCGTGCAGGTAACCTCCTCCTTGTTGCGTGATAATCATGTGCCCCCAAAACCGTTCCACTACGCAGAAACTTGGCAAAACGACGTTAAGCCAAATCCTACAACCTTGTCCACGCAACGATGCCGTTTCACCTCCATAAAATGAGCAAATAAACCTCATTCATTCATGACGTCGTTCTCATCAATACCGCGACATCGCTTTTCACTACTCAATGTCGTTTTATAATCACAACTCAATTGTCTCAGCCCGGTTTGACCAACAACATCGTTAGCCCATCATACAACGTCGTTTTCTAGTCTTGTGTTGTCGTTGTGCTTGGCGGTCCGCCTTTGTCGGAACTCTTACCCACTACCGCGGTGTCGTTTTACTTTTCCGTGGCATCGCTTTTCACTAATCTATGCCGATCTTGAACTGCTCTGTCCCGATCCCATCAAACAATGTCGTTTCCCATTCCGCGACATTGTTCTCTACCAAACGGTACCGTTTTTCTCGTCTTGCAGTGCCGTTGGGCTTGTCGGGCCTTGCCAAAATCCAACCCGCTGTGGTATGGTTTCTAACTGAAAGGCATTGCTTAGTAATATCGTGGCGCTCTTGATGCATTAAGTTGTGTCGTTTTAGCTAAACAGCACCGCTTGATTCTATCCGCGACATCGTTTTAATATTAAACGACTCCGCTTCCAGCCTTGCAGTGTCGTTTTCTTCCCCAATCAGCTCCGGGTTTTTTTCCTCAGCGACACTGTTTATTTTCAACACTGTCGTTTGCTAGTACAGCGGCACCATTGGGCCTACTCGCGGTACCGTTTTGAATTAAACCACACCGCCTAACATAATAAAAGGAAATACCAACGTATTAAATTGCCGCGATTTTGCACGTTTGGGCTGGGTGGATTTTTGGGCCAATCACTTATCCGATGTGGTTTTTAATTAATCGGCACCGCTTATCAAGGTCTCTCGCGATATCGTTTTTAAATCCGCGGTACCATTTCAATTCTCCCCGATGCCGCTTGTCTCCGGTATTGCTTCTCTCCTTCCGACAAGGAATAAAAATAATAATTAATTAAAAAACTCCTTTTCCAACACCACTACTAAACGCGCAGCCCACATCTTATTTTCTGGTAAACAGTGTCGTTTCCAGTGCCGCAGTACCGCTGAGCTCCCTTGCGGTACCGTTTTTTATTTCGCGGTATCGTTTTAACTCTCCGCGATGCCGCTCAACTCCAAACGACAACTTTTTTTATCCACGGTATCGAGTTAAATACCCAGGCTAATTAATGCGGCATATAATTCAGGCTATATTAATTTTAGGTGTCAACAAATGCCCCCATAATTTTTTTTATCCAAAATGCCCCCATAATTTGATTTATAAGAATTATGAACCAAATTGTTTACATAACTTCAACCACCTAAATTCATCTCCAAACCACTGTACCACGCTGAATAACAAAAGAAAAAACAACGTTGTTCTCTCAACAACCCTGTTTGAATCATTCCGAGTAATAATTGGACAAAGCAACATTGAGGCCTCTTCCTTGTGTAACTAAGGTTTCCTTCTTCAACCAAATACCATTCTCATCACCCTTTTCCCACGTGAGAAGCAAATTGCAAAAAACAATTCCATGCGGAATTCGAACACCTCAAAGGTGTGGCCCTTCTAAAACAATTTTGCTGGCCACATCCTTTGGCTATACGCATGGTTTCTTTGCTCTGCAACGTTTTTATTAATATTTTGCCAAAAGCAATACAGAAGTAGGGATGGCAATGGGTTGGGTGGGGCGGGTTTTGTCAAACCCGAACCCAAACCCATGGGTTTGTCCATCAAAAAACCAAGGGTATAACCGCTGGGTTTGAAAAACTCAAACCCAACCCAACCCGTTGGGTATCCGCGGGTTGATGGGTACCCGCGGATTTTTTTGGTAAAATATTTATAAAATAATAATTAACAGTAAACTATCAAAATAAAAATCAAGCATAAATCTCACCGTACAAACTATCCATACATAAAACATCGTTCTAGAAAATTCAAGCAAATCACACACTATCCATACAAATTGTTCAACTCCAATCTAGAAAATTCAAAGTCACAAATTATCAATACACAACATAATTAATTAAAGTTTCCTCTTCCTTGAGAAATTGAACATTGTCATCTTAGCTTCACTCTCAACTCCATAACATCGACTTCATTCTACAGAATTAGGTAGACCAAAATAAGAAATGTATCCACAAACATAAGAAAGATGGATGTTTTAAAGAAGATAGTTATAATATTAAATATACCAGTAACACATGAAGAACAATCTGGATCTAGGTCATCATTAACAATGGCATAAGTCATGAGCTTATCAATTGTTTCCAAGCCATCTGCAAATAGGATAGCAAGTTAGCAAATGGTAACCAACAATATCATAACTCAAAACATGTATTAAAGTTCATATGTGAAGTCAAACAATCAAAGGTTATCAAGATACCTGGAATGGTTGAATTGAGCAATCAGTTTTGAGCACACATTAGAACCTCAACAGTTTCTGGGAGAAGTCTACTATGACTAGGGCTAACTATCACGGATGGTTGAATTGAGCAACCAGTTTTCAATTGTTTTGCAACTATTTCAAACTTCTCTTTCCTTTTAGGAGTTGCTGTCCAGAATTGCACACTACACGGATGCGCTTTACACTTCGCTTTATCACATCCAATCCATCCTTGACAATCAAGTTAAGAATATGAGCACAGCAACGCATGTGAATTTTAGCCCCAGACCACATTAAACGCTCACGATTCAACTTATACTTGACCAAGTCAATCAATGCATCATTCGTACTACAATTATCTAGAGTAATTGCAGACAACTTCGTATCAACATTCCACTCATACAAAGTTTCGATAAGAACCTAAGCAAGTGCTTCACTAGTATGCGGGCAAGGTACATATATAAACCTACAATCAAAATATAACAACAAACTAAAGGTTAGATGCTGCAAGAACAAAAAAACAAGCATGAAAAGGCCAAAAATCGGTGAGGCCAGCAAACTA